CAGCCTCCCGAGTGCTGGGATGACAGGTGTGTGCCACCATGCCTGGCCAGTGTTCAGTGCTGACAGCGAAGACCTGAGGCTCTGGACTGGCCTGCTGTTTTCTGTGGTGATTTCCTGGGGACCTGGAGGCACTGGCCCTTGGTGGTGGGTGCTCTGCCTTTCTGGCTGTCTCTCGCCTGGCTGGGACATCCAACCGTTCAGCCATCTGTTGTCTCCCCAGCTGCACAGCCTTACAATCTAGGAGTCGGCCCACTTTGCAACCCAAACAGAACCAAAGCCGCAGTCAGAGCTGCAGACGGCGGCTTCATGCTGTGCTGCTGGTCTCCAGCCATGAGGACCTCAGTGTTAAAGCCTCCACTGAGTTTGCTGGTTATTGTGTTCCATGGTAGATTTGTGGGTGGTTGCTCAGGGGCCCGGGCTCAGAGCGATGGTGGCCAGCAGTTTAGAAAAATCTGAGAGCACCAGCAGCTCAGGCAGGTCTACAGCTGAGTGTCACAGCAGGCAGGTGATTGGCAACTCCGGGCTCAGGTCTGAGAATCACGTGTGCTGCTAACGGCGCGGCCTATTGTGGCACAAGGCTGCTTTGGGGACAGAGGCTCAGGCTGCCAGGGAAGTGAGCTGTCTCTGGGGCACCTTGCTGGATGCTTTGTCGCCACAGCACAAAACTTGCCAGAGGCTCGTTACTGCAAGGCACTTGCCTGGCGAGCCCAGCGCTGCCTGTAGTTGCCTCAGCTGACCTTACAGTTGCTGCACCGCTAGCACTTGGGATGCTGAGGCAGGAAGACTGCCATAAATTCGAGGCCAGCCTGGGCTCTGTGGTGAGTTCAAGGCCAGCCTGGATTGTGTGGTGAGATCCTGTTTTTTGTTTTTTTTTTTGTCTTTTTGAGACAGTGTCTCGCTGTGCAGTTCAGGCCGGCTGTGAGCTCACTTTGTAGCCCAGGCTGGTCTCGAACTCGCAATGATCCTCCTGCCTCAGCCTCCCGAGTGCTGGGATTACAGGCATGCACCACCACACCTGGCCAGACCCTGTATAAAGAAAAGAAAAAAAAAAAAAGAAGTCAACTATTCCAACCAACTGCAGCAGGCAGGACATGTGCCTTCCCAGGGAAGCCAGCCCCTTGGGGACACTGGCACTGGGCCCTCCACAAAGGGCTTCTCTAGAGTAAGAGACACTGGTCCTGGAGCCAGGACGTGGAGGTCATTCCCGGTGTCTGAATGACTGTAAGAGTTGCACTTTAGTCCCGAGCACATGACTTCTGGGGTTTTGCTTTTGGGTTTTATAGGGCTGGGGATGGGACCCAGGGCCTCACACACACTAGGCAAATCCTCCACCGCCGCTCAGCTGCACCCCAGCCTCTGACACAGTCTTGGGAACACGTGCAGTGAGTCTGCTGGCCACGTCTCCGGTGGGGAAAATCCCCTCTGGATTCCCAGGCCCTCATTCAGACAGCACTGCGGCAGCTGGCCGGGACCCAGCTCAATGCAATCGCGGCGAGCTCCATAGCTTATTTAAGGAAACACTTGGGTCGTGGGACACTGCCTACTAAAAGCGATGA